TCCATCACAGATACTGAGAACTTCTCTATAAAACTGAAAAAGTATCCTAATTTTTCCACCTTGGCCACTAGTTTGGTACAATATAGAAAGTCGGATAAATATCATCCATCTGACCTGATCGATCTAAAACACCTAGGCTTCACCTTTCTATTAGCAGACCAATATAAACGTCACTTCGTTGCGACACCAAATTGCACTTATTACGATAAGCCCGAAACAGTTAAGCATTACTTTTTAAAATGCTTTCGCTTTGTCCATGACAGATCTACCTTGTTTAATAATATAAAATTGATTATCGCATTACCACAAACTACTGAACTCATTCTAAGAGGATTAAGTAATCCTACCCCAGAACAAAACATTCTTATCGTAAATAATGTCCATAAATACATAGCTGACACTAAAAGATTGACTGAACTTTTACTTCTTGTGCTACTCTTGTTGTTTGTATCTGATATGCAGAGTTTTTTGTATATTACAATCCTCGATAAATAAATAAAATTAACGTATCTATAACTGATGAACACGATACTAAAATTTAAAAACGTCGTGCAGCTAAACATTAAAAATAATCAACTATTTTTTAATTTTCTTAATGATACTGGAAAAGAGACGTTTATTTATCTACAAAGAATTAAAATGTAAACACAAATACCACCAAAAACGAAATTGTATATTGAATGAATCTCTATACTGCTGTTACTATAAGAAAAATTCATCTGCCGTAATGTGTAGCAATATCATCAGCCAACTTTTCCGATGCCAAATATATCGGTAACGTTGGAAACCAACCCATTGCTATCGGAAATATAGAAATATCGATAATACGAAGATTTTTAATATTTCTCACTCGTCCTTTTGAGTCTACAACAGCCATTTTGTCAGCAGAAGAACCCATTTTTGCCGAACAGCATCCGTGATGTCCCCAGGCATTTTTTCGTACATGTTCTTCAAGATCTGCTGTCGATGTTACATTCGAACCCGGTGATACTTCTTCTTCAATATATTTGGATAAGGGCTTACGATTTAACAGTTTTCGTACATATTGAAGATTTTGTACCATTCGACTAAGATCATCGTCATGCTCATTAAATAGTTGAAACTGTATTAATGGTATTTGAAATGGGTCTTGCGATTTTATTTCAACTGTGCCCATATTATTTTTACTATGCGTTTCTACATTATTTACTGTTAAATAATTTGGTGTGGCAGATGATACATACTCAAAAAAACCAGCTCGAAAACCATTAAAACGAAATGGTATGACGGTCATA